TTTTGCTGTTACATGATTTGGACAATTTTACTGTTACAAGATTTGGACAATTTTGCTGTTACACGATTTGGACAATTTTGCTGGTAAATGATTTGGACAATTTTGCTGTTACAAGATTTGGACAATTTTACTGTTACACGATTTGGACAATTTTGCTGTTAAATGATTTGGACAATTTTGCTGTTACACGAGTTGCACAATCTTACTGTTACAAGATTTGGACAATTTTACTGTTACAAGATTTGGACAATTTTACTGTTACACGATTTGGACAATTTTGCTGTTACATGATTTGGACAATTTTACTGTTACAAGATTTGGACAATTTTACTGTTACAAGATTTGGACAATTTTGCTGTTACACGATTTGGACAATTTTGCTGGTAAATGATTTGGACAATTTTGCCGTTACAAGATTTGGACAATTTTGCCGTTACACGATTTGGACAATTTTGCTTTTACACGATTTGGACAATTTTACTGTTACACACGGTGTATATGAATACCGAGGAACTTTAAAGAAAACTAGAAGCTACATGAAACTTCTAAAAGAGACAACTACAATATGTAATGATGAAAAACCCCTTGAAGAATTTAACATTCACATTTACTGAGAGATAGTAGATGATACCGGGAATAATACTTGAGCAATTAAAGACGAACAGAATAGAAGACATGGCGAAAAGGCAGGTGTTGTTTGGCGATACTTATGAAAGAAAGTTGTATAAAGTCACGATGGCCCACGCCCCAAAAGAACATGAGATGAACAAAGGTATGACTTTGCTTAATAAAGATACTGCAATTTTGAATGCATTTATCAATAGACTGAGGCATTAGTGTCTGTCGAATTTTATATAGATTGCTATATAAACGCCGCATTTAGGTAGATATAAATGACGAAATGGCTTTCTTTTGAATAAGTATTCACTACCAATAAAAGACAGTAAAATGAATAAAAAGATCCACCCGACTCTATTTTAACATCAGCACACAGTTACTTAATCATGCCGATGCCAGATCAAGCAACGTCTGCGGTGGGTGGACAATTTTTGTCCTTGTTCCGAGTGTACTCCCTCGGGTTCTCTACATCGCACGTCTTGTCTGAGTATGGAGGCTGGGGTAAATAATAACACACAGTCATTTATCCAGGTATCTCCTTATATGGAAATATATGGTATTTATTGACCGAGTAGCCTTTGCTAGTGTCAGTTAAAAGTCATGAAAATCTTTCTATTGAAGCAATTTTTCAGGAAAATAGGTTTTTCGTGTAATCTAAGAGTTATAGGTCTTTCCCAGGTAATCTCTTTCCAACTGACAAAGTCTCTTCGTACAAGCAGCACCACGTCCACAAGCGAACTGACTGTTCTCTTTCGCATGGTGTCTTTTATGCCGAGCTGATCTCTCAAAAATAGGGCAGCCATATTTCTTTTTCCTTTCCTTCACTCTTCAGGCATATACGTGCTTGCTTTGCCACAAGGTAAGTCATCTGCTCTTCTTACATTATTCGGATTGTTATCCACATCCATTGCCATATTCACAACATTTCAGCTGTTGTTTCAAATGTCTTAATCATTTTTTTACCAGTACTCATATTGCAATTATTTCTGTTATTATTATTATTGCTTTTTATAACAGAGCTCACATTACTGTGTCGATTCTATTTTTTTTTCGGATCGATCCATTTTTAATCCTTTACTGTGATGGCAGGTGATCTGATTTCGCAATAAGTTTTTTTTTTCAATGATTGATTTCTTTTTAACGGCTTATCAAGCTTTTGAATGTTAACTAAAGCCAGAAAAATTTTTGTTCATTGGTTCTCTATGTCATGCCAGACAATTTTTTCTCATCAGAATCCGTCTTGTATATATATATCTTTCGTCTGTGCATTGAATATTGCTGCCATCTCTGGTCGGGTGGTCCTGTTATATATCTCGAGATCTTCTTTAAAATCCAAAGTAGGATCTGCAATATTATCAGTCTTGAACTGGCATCTCGACTTCACTCACTTTCCAACCATCGTAACGTAGCCTCCCTGTGCGTTTTTCTATAAATATTTTCATGCCAATTGTTCTAATGAACTTTCTTCATTAGTAGCTCGCCAGCATGAATTTAAGCTTGCAACTAGATTGGCAACTCGGTTTCATCGTTTTATTGATAGAATAGCTAAATGTTGTGTGAAACTGACCCAAGTAATTTATTTCCAACTGACTCCGTATAAGCAGTATCACGTCCACGAGCGTATTGTCTTTCTCTCTCGCGTGGTGTTTTTACGCCGAGCTGATCTCGCAAAAGATTTGCATAAGCCCAACCACTTTTGCCAATTGTCTTAACTCCAAGACTGTGTCTTTCTTAAATAAAGGTGTTAGGGCAAGGTGTTGTATTATCCAGCCTTCAAATGTCTCAATAAACATTTTTTACCAGTACTCATATTGCAATTATTTCTGTTATTATTATTGCCTTTTATAACAGAGCTTATACTGCAATTTTTGTTGTTATTCACTACTCGGATTATTTGGATTGTTATCCACATCTTCATTGCTATATTCACAACATTTAGACCTTTGTACGCTCCGGCCTTCTTCAGGTGATTGAAATTTCGAACCGAATCCTTTATTTCGTACACCGAGATAGATTGTTCTAGTTTCACGTGCCATGCCTCTTCATTATCGCTCAGTTATTTCCCTTTAACTCAACGTTTTGGTTCACCACTGCTTTGGCCTTGTATTGAACGCACAACTCTTTGAATCAAGTTACTGGAGTTAAGCAACGTCTTTATGTACTGGGCCGTATAGACCCTGTGGACGAAATAAACTGGTTCGAAATTCCAATGAAACGTTGTGAATAATGGCAATGAAGATGAATGAACAATCCGAATAAGTAAACAATGCAAAAGTAATAATACATCATCTCAGAGATATAGAGGCCGAAACGTTGTGAATATGACAATGAAGATGAGGATAATAGTCCGAATAATGTAAACAATGCAAGTAATCATAATACCTCATCTCAGAGATATAGAGGCCGAAACGTTGTGAACATGGCAATGAAGATGAGGATAATAGTCCGAATAATGTAAACAATGCAAGTAAACATAACACATCATCTCAGAGATATAGAGGCTGAAACGTTGTGAATATGGTAATGAAGATGAGGATAATAGTCCGAATAATGTAAACAATGAAAGTAATCATATTACCTCATCACAGAGATATAGGGGCCGAAACGTTGTGAATATGGCAATGAAGATTAGGATAACAGTCCGAATAATGTAAATAATGCAAGTAATCATAATACCTTATCTCAGACATATAGACAGATGTTCTGTTTTGGTTTTTGGTGTTGTTGAAAGTCCTCAAGTGACGGTGTTTATGTTAAGTGCGATTCTTTATCGCTAGTCTACAAGGTTCAAAGAAGGATAATTCTAAGACTATCTTTCATTGGCTCGAAGCCTTTTTTTAACGATTGATCTCAGAATGCGGTTGTATAGGGCTGACAATTTAGATATTTCTGAAAGAGTTGGGCCTCAGGTAGGGAATCCATATGACGTTCTCGATGTGAATCGACTATTCAAGGACATGACTCGAATAAAATATTTTTTACTATAGCATGAATATTTTTGGACGATTTATAATAGCGGTTCTTAACCTGGGTCTGATCGTACACCAGGGGTTCACTGAGTCTTTCTCAGGCGTTCAGTGGAGGTCAAGTTAAGTCAATGATGAATATCTCGACGAAAGCATTGAACTTCAGTAAAGCCAGGTTCAGCAGCAACTCTTCAGAACAGAACAAAAATGCTCTCAAGGTTTTAGTGTCATCAAATTGTAGCGTACCTTCTTATTACTAAGGATATTGTAGCGTACCATCTAATTGATAAAAGATAGTGTAGCGTACCTTCCTATTGATAAAGGATAGTGTGGCGTACCTTCTTATTGCTAAGAATATTTGTAGCGTACCTTCTTATTGCTTAGAATATTGTAGCGTACCCTCTAATTGATAAAGGATACTGTAGCGTACCTTCTTATTGATAACGGATATTGTAGCGTACCTTCATATTGCTAAGAATATTGTAGCGTACCCTGTTATTGTTAAGGATATTGTAGCGTACTCTCTAATTAATGAAGGACATTGTAGCATAGCGTCTTATTGCTAACGATATTGTAGCGTATCTTCTTATTGCTAAGAATAATGTAGCGGCCCTCTTGTTACTAAGAATATTGTAGCGTACCCTCTTATTGCTAAGAACATTGTATCGTACCTTCTTATTGCCAAGCATATTGTAGCGTACCCTCTTATTGCTTAGAATATTTTAGAGTACCCTCTTATTCCTAAGAATATTGTAGCGTATCCTCTTTTGCTAAGAATATTGTAACGTACCCTGTTATTGCTGAGGATATTGTAGTGTACATTCTTATTGATAAAGGATATTATAGCGTACCTTCTTATAGCTAAGAATATTGTAGTGTACTTCCTTATTGCTAAGGATATTGTGGGGTACCTTTTTATTGCTAAGAATATTGTAACGTACCCTCTTATTGCTAAGAATATTGTAGCGTACCTCTAACTGTCTTGAGATACTCATACATTCTCGTAGATGGTAAACATGAAGACGAATAAAAGAAAGAGATTTTGTGGAAATTATATGAGAATGGCACTTACCGTGTATTTCTGAATTTATTTCTGAAAGGCAACAGCAAAATTCACATTGATTTGCACTAAATATTCATTGAGTTATGTTTTTGTTTTTATGTGAAAGTTACGTTTTGTTGGTTTTTGTTCTTTGAACAGTGTTGTTTTAGTGCAACTGATGCAAGATTCTCTTTTTCACTAATAACATATATATACCTATGTTTTGAAGAAATCATATTTTATTTTTCTGATTACGATGATTCGGTGAATGCAGGAATGAAATTTTCGGGGTTTAGTGCCTCCACCAAGTTTAAGTACCACTGTTAAAGTCAGATAAAGAAATTAGAATAATCCAAAAGTTATAAAAGTCATTGTCAGTGGTTCGACAGAGGTAAAGACATGTCAATGCTGAATACCTTGATGAAATCATTGAACTTCAGCCGAGCCAGGATGAACAGGACCTCTTCAGAACTACAACGTTCTCGACTTTTTAGTGTCACCAAATCGTAGCGTACCCTTTTATTGCTAAGAAAGCACGTATCTTTGCGAGCAATCCTTTTCGATGATGGTTGACATGAAAACGAAGAAAAGGGACAGGCTTTGTTGCGAAAATGAAATGGGAGTGGCAGTTGGCAAGATGAAGCCGCGCATTTCTGAATGTCTCTTTGAAAGGCAATAGAAAATTTCACATTGATTTGCAGTAAATATTCTTTGAGTTTTTTTTTTGTGTGAAAATTACGTTTTTTCTGGGAGGGGTGTTGTTCTTTGAACAGAGTGATTTTGTGTGCAACTGAGGCATGGTCCATTTTTGCACTAATAATATATATATATATATATATATATATATATATAGTGATTATCCAAACATAGCTTAGATGTGGCACAAGGACGAAATTAGGAGGCACCCAGTGAGAATCGAACTCACTATTCAGTCGTAATTGTTCTAGCGTGACAAGCTTGCTAACCATTACGCCACCTCGAGGTGCCCAAATATATATATATTTCAGGGTTTAATACCTACAACAAGTTTAAGAACCATTCCTATAATACGATAGACTTCGTCATCTCCATCGAGCTCTTTGGGAAGCGAATTTATTTTTTTTTTCTTCTATCAAATAATATACCACTTCTAGCCGGGTCGAGTGACCACTGTAAGCAGAAGCCATTTTTAACAATTGATCTGAGAAAGCCGTTGTATACGGTTGACAGTGTAGACATTTCCATTCCAGTTGGGTGTCGGGCGTGACATCTTGACTTTACGAGGTTAATTTACATAACTGGATTTATGAAATGGACAAAGTCCGACAATTATTTTAAGACATTTTTATGTTTATACATTCTTTTTATAGATACAAATATTTAAGTAAATGCTCTGTTTATAATAAACAGTATTAACAACATTTACCGGCCTGAATGTCCATTTCATAATGTGTGACGTCATTTGTTTACATTTGGATACGCCATTACCAGATACGAAGATTGTCGTTTAAAGACAGTAAAATCGACCTTGCTAACCGAACGCTCCTCTGTGGCCGAATCGGTTAAGGCACATCAAGCTAAATGACGGTTCCGTGTAGGATGCAGGTTCGATTCCTGTCGAAGGAGGAATATTTTCTATGAAAATTTCTCGGTCATTCGGTAAACAAAGTTGCAAGCTCAAATTCATCCGGGCGAGGTACCAATGAGGAAAATTCATTAGAACAATTGGTATGAAAATATTTATAAAGGCACAGGGACGCTACGTTACGACGGTGGGAAAGTGAGTGAAATCGAGATGCCAGTTCAAGACTGATAATATTGCAGATCCTAATGTGTGACGTCATTTGTTTACATTTGGATACGCCATGAGCAGATATGAATGTACGTGAGAGAATCATAGAAGATTGTAGTTTAAAGACAGTAAAACCGACGTTGCTAACCGGACGCTCCTCTGTGGACAAATCGGTTAAAGGCACGTCAGGCTATATGACGGTTCCGTATAGGATACATGTCCGATTCCTGTCGGAGGACGAATATTTTCTATGAAAATTTCTCGGACATTCAGGCCGGTAAATGCTGTTTAATACTGTTTATTATAAACAGAGCATTTACTTACATATTTGTAACTATAAAAATGTCTTAAAATAACTGGATTTTCTAAAAAAAAAAAAAAGTTCTTGCCGCGTGGGTATGCCACAAAATTCTCATCTCTGATGAAGTCAGCCGGATTTCTCAGAAGCGAACTGGGCTGATAATTTTCCAACGCAACCTCGTATCTTTTATTTCTTTTCTCTGATTTTGTTTTCTAAATTTCAACCCATGAAGCCATAAAATTAGAATGTTACTAATAAAATGGTAATGATGAATAAAATGTTTGATTGATTGATTTGGTTTTTGTTATTTACTACTGAAAGATATTTTTGCTTTCTAAAAGTGATTTTTGGAGATAATAATGGTTTTCTGATACTAGTCTTACTATTTAATCCATAACTTGGAGGGGAATAGGTGATTCATACCTTTCCCAAGGGTAAGTAACGTACTCTTCTAGAATCTGAACTGTATTCTCCGACTTTTTTTTTTTCGACTCTTTATTCATTACACCAGTCGTACATTAAATCTTTCAGCACCTGGTATGCCTGAGCGGTCACCCATCGAAGTACTGACCAAGGTGGACGTTGCTTTACTTCGGTGATTATCACAAGGCCGGAAGCGCGTGATATAAATAAGAGAAGAACTGGGCGGAAGTTACGAGGATAGAAATTGCTTGAACCTTGAAGTTAGAATTGTAGTTTTTCAAGGAAGCATCCAAGAATCCATGGGTCTGCTCGAACAAGTGGCAGAGTTCTTGGGGGGGGGGATGAATATGATTGACGCTGCCCACCCAGGGGAATGACACATTGCGGATTCGTGGTGAAACGTTTTCCGCTAATACGAAGTGTAAATATTATATTAAAGCAATTGCTAGGTCTGCGGTTAGTTCGCTGAGTCTTCCTAGACAATTTTTCTCGGAGTTTATAAGTCTACCATTCATCTCTACTTTGGATATTTTTGGCATATCTGGTCTCCAGCTTCTGGTATATATTTAGAAATTCTTGATCAAATCCAAAGAAGAATCTGCAATGTTATTAGCCCTGACCCGTTATCCCGGCTTCAGTCACTTCCCAGCACCGTATTTTCCCCTGGGCATTTTATATAAAAACGTTAATTGCCATTGTTCTGATAAACTTTCCTCTATGGTACGGAGACTTTAGGAATTTAAACGCAATACTAGATTTGTGGTTAGGTCTCATAATTTTACATTTTAAATGATGTGATTATTATCGTAATTTCTATACTAACAGTTTCGTTTCTAACGTTTGCTGCTTGCAGAACTTTCGCCTGGTTTTTTGCTTGTCAGTCAACTTTGATTTTTAAAAGTTTATATATATTTAAAAAATTAATGTAAATTACAAGAAACATATCACATAAAAAATAACTATGAAAGTGTTTACACCTATCATATAGCTTTCATTATACCAATTTTGATAATACCTAACTAATGTATAAAAGTAACGCGTAACTCTTATCCAGATTCTTGCTTGGCAGGTGAATTCTCTTTATTGCAATGCCAGGCGTCATCTTCTGTCTTCTTAATTCTTGTTCTCTTATTGTCCTCTCTCATTAATAGTAGTTTTTCTCATATTCTCTAACACTCAGTAACCCCCTTTGCGTCTTAGTGGCTTTAGTGTCTTGCTTGGGAAAAAATTAAATGCAATGTTAATCGTTATCTTCTGTTTTCTTAATTTTCGTTCTTTTATTATCCTCTCTCCTTAATAGTAGTTTTTCTTATATTTTCTAACACTCAGTAGCCCCCCTTTGCGTCTTAGTGGCTTTAGTGCCTTGCTTGGGAAAAATTTAAATGCAATGTCAATCGTTATCTTCTGTTTTCTTAATTTTTGTTCTTTTATTGTTCTCTCTCCTTAATAGTAGTTTTTCTAATATTCTCTAACACTCAGTAACCCCTTTGCGTCTTATTGGCTTTAGTGTGTTGCTTAGGAAAAATTTAAATGCAATGTCAATCGTTATCTTCTGTCATCTTAATTCTTGTTCTTTTATTGTTCTCTTTCCTTAATAGTAGTTTTTTTTTCATATTCTCTAATAATCAGTAATCCCCTTAGAAGCTTTACTGCCTTGCTTGGAGTGAAATGATTTTTTAAAAAAGTATATGTTTTTATTAAATCGTACGAGAGAATGGAATTCATCTGAATATTAGCCATGGAATATTTCCCATAGAACTGTAGCAGACTTAGTGCGTAAAACATTTTGAATTCTATCAAAGCTGGAAATTGAGGATTCAGCAGTTTCAGTCCCAATATTCTATCAATCTTCTATTTTTGGTCTAATCTGACTCTTGTAAAAGATAAGGCATGAGAGAACGTGCCAGATATTTCCTGAAGCGATAGAATGAACCGATCATTTTTCCAGTGTATTTAACAATGAATTGTATATATGACATCTGCTTCAGCTCTGGAGTGAACTTGAAACATTCAAAGCACGGAGCCTCATTTTGAGTGTTGCTGGGTTATTTTATTTGTAAAGAAGCGTTTATTTTTGTTTCTTTTTATAGCTGTAAATTATACCAAATCTATGTATTCTGTATCTTTGGGGGAAAAAATAGCGTTTCACCCGATGAACTCTTATTGAACAAAGAGCAGAACAATTTGCGAAATAAAACGAAAATAATTGTTCGATCCTGCAAAACCATGAAACTATACATGTTAATATCAAACCTTTGACTGGATAGAGATACAGAGAGAGAGGTGGAAAGAAAGAGAGAAAAAGAGGGAGAAAAAGAGAAATAGTGAGAGAGACAAAGAGAGTTAGAGAGAATGAAAGAGAGAGAGAAAGCGAGAGACGAAAAGAGAAAGAGTGAGAGAAAGAGTGAGAGAGAAAGAGAGAGAGAAAAAGCGTGAGACGAAAAGAGAAAGAGTGTGAGAGAAAGAGTGAGAGAGAAAGAGAGAACAGGAGAGAGTGAGAAACAAAGAGAGAGAGAGAGACAATGAGAGATAGCGAGAGAAAAGAAAGAGAGAGAAAGGGAGAAAGAAAGGGAGTGAGCAAGAAAAAAAAAAAGGCTATTTGTTGTTCATAAAAATGACAGCACTTGAACTAACGTCGACGAACAAATAATGTTCATGAAGGAAGTCATGAAACCGGAAGCTTGCAAACGGATTTCCTGAGGGATGTAGGCTTCCGACTTCCGGTTATGGATTAGGGGTTCTACTGCCTTATATCTTCAGCCAAATAATCGCGAAACGATACTCGCTTTCACTTAAAGGTAAACGGAATACAAGATAATCCGAATGACGGAAATTAATGTGAAATTTTTATGAGACTACATTTTCCTTAAGTACTGTATAAAATAATTTTAGGTAAGGAATTTAAATTCCAATGATTCGTCAGAACCAAAAAAAAATATTAAGAATATATACGTATTTTAGAGTTGTAAGATTATAAGATAATAAAAGGATGTGGAGTAACGGATAGCGGCTCGGATTAAGGAATCGGAGAGCCGAGTTCGAATTCCAATCGAATCCATTACATTCACTTACGTACTATTACCCTTGGGAGAGGTATGAATCCTCTTCTTCTCCCCCCGCCCAGATATGGGTAAATAGCAGGACAGACCGGGTTCTGTAGCATTGGATGGCAACTGGTCTACTGCAGAAAGAAATTGCAACCGACTGCGGGAAAAAAAAAATCTGCCTCGTCAGTCATCGAAAGATACATAATCACCCAGACGTGTATCACGTATGGGACATAACTGACAGACACTCTTCTTCTCTCCCCAGCTATGGGTAAATAGCAGGACAGACCGGGTTCTACAGACTTGGATGGCAACTGATCTACCGCAAAACGAAATGACAACCTACTACAGGAAAAAAAAAATCTGCCTCGTCAGTCATGTATCGAAAGATACATGATTGCCTAAGCGTATATCACATATGGTACATAACTTACTGACCCTCTTTTTCTCTCCCTAGCTATGGGTAAATAGGTTCTATAGCCTTGGATGGCAACTGATCTACCGCAGAAAGAAATGTCAACCTACTGCAGGAAAAAAATCTTCCTCGTCAGTCACGTATCGAAAGATACATGATCGGTTAAACCTATATCACGTATGTCAGATTACTAACTGACGTTCTTCTCACCCCAGCTATGGGTAAATTGCAGAACAGACTGGGTTCTATAGCCTTGGATGGCAATTGATCTAGCGCAGAAAGAAATAAAAATCTACTGCTGGAAAAAATCTGCCTCGTCAGTCATGTATCGAAAGATACATGATCGCCTAAGCGTATATCACGTATGGCACATAACTGACTTGATAATAAAAAGGTAATATGCAGAAATGGTTATACATATGCAGAGTATAAACAGATAGACTACCGATATTTAATATCACAGGTTGGAATCAAATAACCAGGTAAAAGTGTAGTATCTGTTCTCATCTCGACTCGTTATGGGAATGATCGCAGTTTCCTTATAAGGAAACATTCTCATTCTTTGAGAAGCCACTACTACTGGATTTACGTTTTTCTTCATTCCGTAGCCATAGGGCTAGGCTCAAAGTGTAGTATATTTTCTGCACATTTCTAATAGTAAGCGTAATAATAATATTAACTGTTTCCTTATAAGGAAAAATTTGGCAGTCATTGACCGAGCAACCACTACTACTTGATTAACGCTTTTATTGATTCCATGAATATCAGGCTAGAAACAAAACATACCATTCCCTTCTCTTCGTTTGTAATAATAATAATAATGATAATATTAGCTGTTTCCTTATAAGGAAACATTCGGGATCCAGTACTCCCCGACTCACGCTATTCTTCATTACCTGAACATCGAGCTGGGATCAAAGTGTATCATCAGGTTTCTTAAGGACAGTAGCAGGAATCACTTTTACCATTATTAAAGCAGGCTTCCTTCTTAACCATTTTTAAGCAGTGTCAAATATCTCCATCTTTAAAATATAATTATTTTCTCTTTGAGTTACATGTGCTATCCATTTTAGTTGTTGCAGTTGTTGAAAGTCCTCAAGTGATGTGGTTTCTGTTTCTACAGTTCTTTGCTTTGATTGTTTAGTGCCATTCCACAAGGTTCAAAGAAGGATTCTTTGCTTCAGGCTTCATTATTTTTCTCTTTGAGATTGTTTGTTACTACTGTTGAATGTCTTCAAGTGATGTGGTTTCTGGTTCAAAGTTCTTTGCTTGTGATTGTTTAGTGAGGTTCAAAGAAGGATGATCTTTGCCAAGACACTCAGGCTTCATTATTTTCTCTTTGAGTTATATGTGATGCCCATTTTACTTGTTACTGCTGTTAAAAGTCCTCGAGTTATGTGGTTTCTGTTATTTGGTACAGTTCATTGTTTCTGATTCTGTAGCCCCTGTTTATGTGATCGATGAACGATCGTCCTCGCTAAGGCTTATCTGCTATATTCGCCTGATGCCATTTTTAGCCAGTGATTTGATGACAGTCTAGATATTTTCTATGTGTTTGGCGCAATGCAGGATTTTAATATGAAAGCCTCGATCCGACCAGGCTATTTAAGAACATGATTCGAGATCTTCTGTTCATGTACGACACAATTATCTATTTGGACTGTTAGGAAAACTTATTTTGAAAGGATATTAGAATAATCTCGAATATATACTGGAAGCAATTCGCCTGCACATAAATGAAAAACGAATTTAATCATTTTTATCCCATCACCGTAGGGACACTATGTGCACTGTAGCCGCAGTAGAAGAGATGTTTCTTTGGCAAGATGGCCTGACAGAGCTCAACCCTCTCCAGGCCGGTTTTGAATTCAGAGTCTTTCCCGTTCCTAGATAGGTTGCCATCCAAAGCTATAGAACCCTCTGCCCTTCTATTTACCCATAACTGATTGGAGAAGAAGAGGATCCATACCTTTCCCAAGAGTTTTAGCACGTAAGTGAATGTAATGGATTCGACTGGAATTCGAACTTGGCTCTCCGATTCCTCAATCCGAGCCGCTATCCATTGCTCCACCATACACAAACATATAAAGTGCTTTTATCTTCTCCTGTAGCATTTATTTAACCTTTACGGTGAAGCAATAGTTAGAGAACAAGAAGTCCTGATCAGGATTTATTATTGGGGGAAATAATCAGAGCAGTACTCAAATGGCAAAGAGTTAATGGCAGAAACAGAAAGAAAACTACAGGATATCCTAGACTAGGTAGTAAAGGAAAGCAGGAAGAAAGGACTAATCATCAATTGTAAAATGATTGTATGATTGTCAGCAAGTGGAGCAGGCTAATTTGCGAGCTCCAAATGGGAGATAAAGTTAAAAATCTTGGAAGTTTCTTTTAACGTTTGCCGGAAAATGGGGCACTGCGTGGGTGGATATTTGGCTCAGAGACATTTGGCTAATGGGTATATGACCGACAGACATTTAGCCGAACGGACATTTGGACGAGAGGCATTTGACCGAAAGGATAATTGGTCGAAAGACATTTGGCCGAACGGACATTTGGCCGAGGGACATTTGGTCGACGGACATTTCACCGAATAGACATTTAGCCGAAAATGTAGTGGCGTACTTACATGTGTCTGTCACACTCTTTATCGTAATGTGCTACATATATTTATATGTATTTACTGTGTTAAGTTATAATTTTTTTAAAAGATATCTTTTTAAAATCTATTCTGTATATATTATATTTTACATCAAATTTTACTGTAAGATGATAAGTATGACTAAATGTCTGTCGGCCAAATGTCTGAGCACCACGGCATTGATATTCAGAAGGGACATTGGAACAACAAATACGTCTTCCAAATTCTAAAGAAGGTATAAAGAAACATGAAAATTTTGTTAGAAACACAGAAAAAGTGAATTATTCTTTACTACAATCATGTTTGCATCTATCTATCTATCTATCTATCTATCTATCTATCTATCTATCTATTAAAGACATTTTTATGTTTAACGTTGTTTTTTATAGATACAAGTATTTAAGTAAATGCTCTGTTTATGATAAACAGTATTAAATAACATTTACCGGCCTGAAAATTCTATGAAAATTTCTCGGACATTCAGGCCGGTAAATGTTATTTAATACTGTTTATCACAAACAGAGCATTTACTTAAATACTTGTATCTATAAAAAACAACGTTAAACATAAAAATGTCTTTAATAAATAAATTGTCGGACCTTGTCCATTTCCTATCTATCTATCTATCTATCTCGGTCTGTTCATATCTATCTATCTATCTATCTATCTATCTATCTATCTATCTATCGCGGTCTGTTCATATCTATCTATCTATTTATCTATCTCAGTCTGTTCATATCTATCTATCTATCTATCTATCTATCTATCTATTCATCGAACTCAGTCTGTTCATATCTATCTATCTATCTATCTATCTATCTATCTATCTATCTATTAAGAATTGGACAAAGTCAGGCAATTTATTTCATATCTATCTATCTATCTATCTATCTATATGAATGTATCTGCCTATCTACAGTTTGGACATTTTTCTATAAACTGACCAAAAATGTAATTACAGCTCCAAAATGACATACACTTCAATCTATTTTAATAAATCCTGCAGGAAGAAATGTCTTGCGACATCAGGGCGGTTTGTGATTTTCGACCCGGCCGCTAACATTATGAACGACTGTCTCTTTCTTTCACTCTCTGCACATGCATACATACATACACGCGCGTGCAAGCACCCCCCCATATATATATATATATATATATATATATATATATATATATATATATATATATATATATATATATACTAAGTTCAAAAGTTTGTAGCTACCCCCAGAATGGGATGACATTGACAGAAGAATCGAACAAAAAAAGGGAAAAGAATGGAATCCATTACCAAACTTATACATTGAGGAACTTTTGCAATGAATACCAAAACTTGTGCTGCAGTAATCAAGGCTAAAGGAGGCTAATATGACGAGAGCAAAATTTTAGATAGGATGATGTGTAATTTGTTATGTATGTATGTATATATTGTATAAGTGTGTATTATGAAATGGACAAAGTCCGACAGTTAGTTTAAGACATTTTTATGTTTATAAATTCTTTTGATAGATACAAGTATTTAAGTAAATGCTCTGTTTATAATAAACAGTATTAATCAACATTTAC